CCCCCATACAGCAAGGCGAACTCTGTAAATGTTTGTGGTGTTTGTTTGACGTACAGTATCCGTTGCTCAGGAAACCGTTGGGTGTTTCCTCTTTCGTCTGATTTTGATAATCAGCTTCCCTGGACAAATGTTTTACAGGCTCTTATTGACCCGTGGTGTCATTATCTGCTTCTGTTGCAGTTTGAGCTCTACCAGCGTATTTAGACATTAAAATTATTCTTTGGCAGACGAGTTAACCGCGAACTCAAAAGGAGATGTGTTATTACGTCTGGAATTAATCACGTTTTTTCTGTAAAGTATACGATGATTGATTTGTGATGCAAGCGGTGTCGACGAAAATAGTTAAGAGGTAAGCTAGGCGTTATGGCTTTCCGCCCTGCTCGATAGAGAACGGACGTGGATGCATAGATCCATCCATCATCTTCTATTATTACTTGTGTTATGCAGCGCTGGTTGTAGAACAAATCGGATCAAATTAGATAGAGCAACAAACACAGAGTGCACTGTCGTCTTCCCAGCACTGTTGTAATGTAGACGAGTGTCAGTGGTACCTCAGTGCTCCAGCTTCACTGTTTACAAGCGTATAATTGATGACTACTCTGGTGGGGGGAGGGGGGGTGTCTGTTCCTTCAGTTTCTTCACGTGACCAGGGTCGGGAGCCCGCCTCCTAAATTATATAAATTGTGTAGAAGAGGGCATGAAAATACCTACGATGTATTTTAAAAGAATATCTTCTTACGGCTTTTATTGTTCTCTTTTTGTTTTTGTGGATTAAATCACCCATAATCACCGGTCACTTTAGTGTAGTGTTTAGGTGCACCATTGTCGCACGCAGCATAGGACGTGAGTTTGATTACTTGATGGGGAGGTTAAAAAAAAATTGAGTAGGCCTGTTTCCGTCTGTCTGCTGAGATGCTGCACCCCTCTCAGCCCGGGTTGGCCCTAGGAGGCAGGGTCGAAGGCGCCCGCTTTCTATAAAATCTAGATGTATCGGTGGGGGCGTAAAACTCCCTCAGCGACGACTTCATCCGTTATCAGGGTGTCTCTCTTTAAACTACAACCGAACAACCCCTGGCTGTAAAACGTTGGCTGGCTCAGACTCTCGTCTTTGCCCCGGGATGGGTATTGGTTTCTTTGAGATGGAGTTTGCATTTCAAATTATACTTGCGTCTCAGTGTATCCCTTCCTTTCTTGTCCATGAATTATAGCATTGGTTCCCCATTGGCCTTTCCTGTTGATTGTGATGTGGTATCGACCGGGAATTCAAATTTCATGTTACACATAGTCTTGCTTTGGTTCCAAACACGCCGTAAGATGCGGTGTTTTGTTATGGGAGTTTCAACATTGAGCCGCGGCTGTGTGCTGTAATAAACTCATTAAGAGGTAATAAATTATATTCTGGGGCAATTGCCCGAAAGCTGTAAGTGTTTGCATAAGGCCAGCCGAGGCCATTTCGCACACCTGCCTTGGTTACATTTGTCGGCCCAAACGGGGAAAACCCATGCTCAGACAGGTCGCCAGTGCAGTGAGTTGTTTTCGTCAATATCACCCATCTGGTCAGCGTTAGCTCTATGTACGCTATTGACCTGGGGGGTTTTCTTCACGTTTGTGAAAGTTTTGTTCTTTCAAAAAATGGAATATATGGGGATTTGTTCAGTCGCTCCAGTTCAGTGCTTTGAGATGTATTGGTCTGGTTGCTGACATTTGTGTAAAACTCTCAACCGAGACGTCCATTGTATGTCATCATTGACCAAAAGTTTGTTAATTATTGAATCATTTACATTGCCTGTGTTTTCTGTAGAGTTTCAGAATTGTGTGGGTATAGAGTCTTATCATGAAACTGAATGCACATGTGTAGACATTGTAAATTGTGAGTAATGTGTCTTGTCATATTGGATCCTGTTTAGTTTTGTGGTCTGCTTTGCAGAGAGTTTGGAAACATCGCAGTCATCCACTATTATTATTCACGGTTTTTATGTTGGAGGCCATGAAGTTTCATCGATCGGGTCCGAAGCGAGAAGTGAAGTATAGCCCTGAGTGGTTTCATTCATCAATCATAAGAGAATGTTTAATTTTTTTTTCATTTCCCGTTGCAATTTTTTTCCGTTTTAAACCCTATTTTTTCACCATAGTAGTATGAACCTGAGGCTAGAGCGAATTGTCTGGAGATGTTGGGTTGTATTGTCTGATGAAATATCATACTTTTGTCTCTGGGCTCAGGGGTTGAATGGAAGTGGTGGAGATAATGGACAGCAGCGAATCACCGACCACTGTTGCGCCGCTTACACTTACCTTACATGTTTTTTTAAAATTTTCATTAACATTGGGAGGGTAAACTGTAGACCTTTGTGAGGGAGCTGCCAAGATGATTACATGTTCGTCTAGAATCACAGTTGGTTATTTATTTTGGCTCATGCGCACTGTGGTTCATACGAATTAATGGGAAATCGATACAACAGAACTCACAGCTTTGATCAGTTCGATGGAAGTAACTCCAATAGGTGCGCGTCGAATAAAATGTGCGTGGGAGATTTCAGAATGAAGCCAACTGCTTTAAAAAGAGCTCTTGTATTTTCATAATGGGCGAAGCGCTTTGTGATCAAAGCCACCGTGGATCTACTTCAGTTCATGCGTGCAGTCTTTTATGAGTATTGATATCTTCAAGAATTGTTATATTGATTGGAATCCTTCAGTTTTCTGTTTGTGGAAGACGTTGTGTGGACTGATACCGCGCTGCTCGTTATTACAGAAAGAGCTGTGTAATAAAATGGGTATACGTTCATAGAAGGAAAAGAGCAGTGGAGAATTTTATATACTTAGTTAACTTAACTTTACTTTTATCTGGTAGAACGTTTTACTTAGGTTTGTACAACCGTGCTAAACAAAACAGGGCTAAACAGTCGAAGAGGAAGTTAACCGCAAGAAAAGCTTTCAGTCGGAAAGGATCAATTGTGAACCTTTCTGTGACGCGGATTCAGTATGAGGAGTGAGTGTCGAAACTGGGATCAGATTGCGCTCAGGAGTGATGCGATACGAGGCATGGAGTTGTGTTTCTCATAGAAGTACTGGCGTATTGGCTACCGGATTACATTGTGTCTCATGGACGACGATTGACTGCTGGCAGGCAAGTCTTTTTTTTACGTCGTAGTTAATTTTTCCCTCTGGCAAGCGTTGTTTTTCGCGGGATTTACCATCAACAGCTCCCTGGCGAGTTTTCTGTTCGACATTTTCGATCGACCACTGACGAGGGAGTTTCTGCTGTCAGGTGTGGCTTTTGACAACGGATGAGAGAAGTTTTCTACCTCGGAATTACCACTGACGTCGGAAAAAAATTGTTATGCCCTGCAATTGCTCACCATTTTTCAACACTTGGGTTCTGATATGAAATGCCCTCGGGGCGGGGGACTCACTTGAGTGGCGTGACGCCGAATTTACCCTCTACTAACCCCGCGACCTTTCCCCGGCTCTCCACCCCGCCTACACTGGCATGGGTGTGAATTGTGTGCTGGGATGAGCGCGTGCCAAACGGCGCATGGATGAGGATACTCGGCACCTGCAAAGTGGAGGGCTACGCTAGCCTGAGCATGTTGCGCGTGGAGGACCCGGCGAGGGACGACCGGAGGCGTTCCAGGACCTCCCTGGCCTCCATCATCGAGGACCTGACACATCTCCGCAAATCGCTGTTACGTCAGAAGTCAGAGGGGGAGGTAAGTTTGGTCTGCTCGCGGCCTGTATAATGTTCTGGCATGGCGTTAATCTGAGGCGAAGTAGGGAAGTCTCCGTTTACTCCTATATAGTCCCCCATCTTCCTCCGAAAACAGTGGTTCTCGTATCGATTGTAATTGTATTCTGTTTGTTAAGGAATTGATACGACTGCCTCCCATTTCTTTTTGCAAAAAATAAACCCGACATATTTTTTGCTCTTCTCTTATTATTTTTCGTGGGTTCTATTCAAAGTTGTACGGTTTTCCATATTTCTGAGTCAGCTTTTCTAATTTAATTCCGAGAAAGGAGTGTTCCGTGAATTAATGTATTATAACAATGATAAGATGGTTGAATTTTTGTTTTGCAAGTCAAATTAATTTCATCCACCCCCCTCCCCTCGTCCCCCC